TGAAAAAAACGCTTACCATACAATTTCCATATGTGGAAAATGTACTTGCATTTTTTGATGGCGACACAAGTAATTTCAAATTACCTCAAATTTTTTTTTCAACCGTAAATCGAGTTTTGTAGGCGAAATTTAAATTTTTGTGTGCATATCATAGTTCTGGATGGGATATAACTGGTTTTTTTCCTTTTCACTTTTTAATTTGTTTTCAAAAACGCTGAGAACTCCTATTTTTTTTTGTATGGTGTGTTTATTTATGCCTTGATTAATGTCTGATAATTTGAAACTTCAAATTTTTTAAATAATCATCGTTGAAAATATTTGCCATAAATTAAAAGTCTGTTACTTTTGTTATATTATTGGTGAAAGGATATCTTTCAGACAATTCAGGTCGTTTTCTTTGCTTTGTAAATACAAGACCGTCCAATTTTTGGTGATTTGAGTAAATCATGGTCTTTGGCACTTGTGTTTGGTTACAAACTCAACCCAAAGTTTTTCAGAAAACAAATTTAGAAACAAAAAATCAACTTTTTTCTTTATGAAAAAACAACTAGCATTAAATTTTCATATATGAAAAAAGCATATCATAGAGATTTCCTACAATTTTCGGTACTAATGGAATTGTATGAATTTGTATGACAAGAAGTTTCACATATATGGAAATTGTATGATAAGAAATTTTGGTCAACCCAGCAAAATCTAAAAAATCAGTGAGAACATTCAGGGCTTTGCCCTGATACAAGCAGTGCAGTTTGCCTTTGAACTCAAGAGATTTTAGTAATACGGGTATAAAATATTAGTCGGAGATAAAAACATCTTTTGTACTCTCAACAGGTGGTCAGGCAGAAATTACAGTGATGTTAGTTATGAAATATGTTTGGTTATTAAAACATACTTTAAAGTTTAATTCAGAACCGAAGATACAAGGCGTAAATCAACATAAATAAAACTCCCGTGTCGCAACTTACATATATACACATTTAAACTTCCTACCATTTCACGTGTAAAATAA